AATGAGGTGAAAAGTACTTAGTATGAGCACATAGTATCATCTCAGTAATGTTAGCTGTTCCATTTGATCAGAATTGATGCCTCTTCTGTATTTAACTCTTCACATGAAAATTTTTTAATTATAAAGTTGGATTTTTAGATTTCATGGGGACTTTATTTTGGGAAGGAAGGGATGAGAGTAACTAATGTTTCTTCTATCATTTCACCGTTTTTCTAAAGTAGCATTCTAGAAAAGAATGACTTTCTTCTCTGTAGCATATTCTTAAACACACACATGCACACACACTGAGTTGCTTTCCTAAAAACCCTGAGGCCCTGCAATCTGGCTAGAAAAGAAAGAAAACCATTCCAAGATATTTAATTGTACAGGGAGCTTACAGGATTGATCGAGAGCTTAGCTTTTTACAATAGTCCAGTGAATAAGAAATGCTCCTGACAAACGATCAATGATAGGATAATCACTCTTTATCCCCCTCCTCATTCTTACCTTCTTTCTTTCAGGAGAACAGGGTTCAGAAGTCAAAAATCTTTATAGACGCCGCTTTTAAATTAAGCAGAAAATAGACATTGACATATTTGTTAATCTCCCCTAAATCATTACCAGGCTGGCTGCTTGGCTGTACAAGGAAAGAGGGGCCCTTGATGTGCTACACAAGGGTCTAACTAGCTTAAGAGCAGCCTTTCATTCTTAGAAAATAAAATAGAGACAACCTTTTTTTTTTTTTTACTGTTAAAACAAAGCACACAAATCCTTGGCTTCATGTGCATTTTAAAATACATCCATTCTCTACATCTGTCTTTTCCTTTCTTTGGTATGTTTTGGAGGTAGGTCTGAAGGAATCAAAACAGGCAGCCTTTGGAGGAATGCTGTATGATCTTCCTAGTGTCAGGAGGGCCAGAGCATTACAGGTGTTTATTTCATTACTCTTTCAAACCTCTAGAATATCTTGATTGGGTGGACAAGAACTTTGTTAGTCCAGGAGCCCGCCTTCTCTGTCCCTATAACTTGGTAAAGCCAAGGCCTTGTTCCCAGAGTGTTCTGCTCCTAAGCCCCTAAGTCCTTTCCCCTCTGTGTCCAGTGCTGAGCTGTGCCCTTAACTCCTAACACAATGAGCCAAACTCTCCAGCTGATTTCCTTCTGTGGCCACTGCTAGGATACCTGTTTGGCCGCCATCACTACCATTTCATGTGGAAGAACTCAGGCTTCAGAGATAGCTTAGGCCCAAGTATAAATCCTGACTTTGCTACTTAAGAGCTAGATGCCATTGGGCAAGTCACTTTACATTTCAGAGCCCTGATTTTCTCATTTGTGAAATAGGCACCCCATCTGCAGGTGGAGTTGTTAGAAGGATTAGAGGTGATCTATGTGAAGCAACTTGGAAAGCACTCAGTAACGCTGAGATGTTCAGCACCATAGCAGTATTAACAGCTGACCAGACCTAGGTTGGAATTATACATGGTGACTTGTGAGCTATGTGATCCTGAAAACATTAAGTGTGGTGCCTGGCACACAGCAAATGCTCAATACGTGATATGTGTTATATATGGTGCATGTAATGTCTGTGCATCTACAAGCACAACGCTGGTTGTTTACCCAGAGAATGTTCGTAAGGGTCTGGAACTTCCTTTTCGGCCATATCTATAGTCCTGCCATCCCTTTCCCCTAGCAAGTCTGTGATTTTGCCCACTGTTGTGTGTGTTCTTGATCTCACAATAACAGGTGGAGCTACCCTCAAACCTTGGGCCTGCCTAGGAGATCACATCTGACCTGCAGAATGGGAATTTTTGGAAACATCATCTTAGTCTATAATGTGGAGTGGAACTAAGATGGAACTTCAGTTTTATCAGCCAGGAGGCTGACATCATCGTTTAGCCTTTTCTGAAATTAAAGGGATACTGTTACTGAAGCACTTGTCCCAGGCCCCAAATGAGCAAAAAGGGAGAACATGACACAATGTTCAAAAGCTTTGGACCTAACCTGTTGCATTTGAGTCCCAGCTCTGCCCTTTTCTGGTTTTGTGACTTAATAAGTAACATAAATTCACAGGGCATTGGTTTCCTCACCTGTAAGATGAGGATAATAAAAATACCAACCTTCTTAAGATTGTTGTAAGGCTTAAACAAGTTGATAGACATAAAGCATTTAGAATAGTGCCCAGTGCCCTGTAAATATTAGCTTTGATGACTTACTGTATGCACTGGGGAGCCCAGGAAAAACATTTGTTTTAGCTTGGCTGACTTTTTTAACTTTCCATTTGATATGATTTCACAGAAAAGTTATGTGTCCTATACAAAGGCCTTCTGATGCCTTTTTCTCAGATTCACCTGTTAATATCTTGTCCCATTTGCTTTATCATGTCTGCACGCTCGTGCATGTGCTTATACCCTCTCCACAAACATACATGTTTTCTTTGGACCATTTGAGAGTAATCTATAGCTATCATGCTCCTTCATCCATAAATATTTAGTGTTTCTAAGAACACAGACTTTCTCTCATATAACTGTATCAAAATCGGAAAATATAACATTGACACAATACTACTGTCTAATTCATGTTAAAATTTTACCATTTGTCCCAATAATGTCTCCTACAGGTGTTTTTTGATTTGTTTGGTTTTTGTTTTTGGTCCAGTTCTGAGGTCAGACACAAGACCACACATTGCAATGTGTTGTCATTTATTTTTAGTCTCTTTTAATCTGGAATAGTTCTTCAGCCTTTCCTTATCTTAAATGATCTTGACTTTTTTTTGAAGAGTACAGGCCACATTTTTGTAGCATGCTCCTCAATTTGGGCTTGTTTTTTACTTCCCTATGGTTAGATTCAGATTATGCATTTTTAGCAGGAATATTGCAAAAGTGATGTTACATCCTCAGGACATCATATCAGGAGGCACATGATGTCAATATGTCTGGTTCTTGGTGATAGTAATTTTGATTACCTGTTTAAGGTTTTGTTCACAAGGTTAATCCACTGTAAAGTTACCATTTTCCCCTTTGTAATTAATGAGTAATTTATAAGGCGATACTTTGAGACTAGGTAAATATCCAGTTCCTCATCAAGCTCTCACCCACTAGTTCTAGTATCAATTGATAATTCTTGGCAGAATCAATTACTGTGATGGTTGTAAAATGGTGATTTTCTAATTCCACTGTTCCTTCTACATCTGTTGTTACTCTGCTGGAAGGGTGAGTGTTCTTTCTCTTTCTCCCCCATTTATTTATTTTTAGCAAGATGGACTCACAGGTTCTTAATTTTATAAATATTCTTTCTGGTAATAAATATTATTATCCTGTTTCAATAAATCTGGTTGCTCAAAATGTCCCAGATTTGGACAGTGAGAACCCCTCAGACCGGTTCTCATGTCCTTTTAACCTGTCCAGTCATTTTTTTTAGTGCTTCCTTGCTTTTTGAGACAATATGTTCCAGGCTCATATTTGTCCTGCCACGTCCCTAGGATCAACCCTTTTTCCAAGGGATCTTCATTCCTTTCACTAGAGAAGGAACAATGTCTCCTTCCCTGTCCAGGGTGTTAGAACTGAGACCATCTCCTCTCTGAAGAAGCCAGTCGGCCTCCCTCCCATCCGTTTCCCAGGCAGATCCACACTAGGAGGAGACATGTTCACCTCATTCCAGCCCCACTGCTTGCCTGGGTGGAAAGTCTGCTGGCAAGCCAGGGTCCGTGCCTGCCTCCTGAGAGAGCCCGCGACGAGACAGCGTTTAGCACTCTTCATTGATATTTTAAAGTAGTGATGGGTTTAAAAAAAAAAGGTGGAGTTGGGCATCCAAGAACCTCATAAAAATGAAACTGGGTACTGTAGTTACATCCCTGTTCTATTAACATGTGTTTATGTATAATACTTACGGCTCACTCGGCGGCCCAAGGCTGCTTATGGCACATGATTCATTGTGGCATAAAAAGCAAGGCCTGTTCCCAGACAGACATGCTTGAAATAGACCTTTCTCTTCTGCAACTCATCACCTATAGTTGTGTATTTATTTGTCAGCTTTGGTGACAAAGCACTTCAGGGTGTCCCCAACACCAAGGGCTGTCGCCTATTGCTCCTTCAGCTAGACTTACTCCTCCTTACTGGGCAGGCAGCTAAATTTTCAGTATTGATTGCAAGTCCCATTCTGAGAGTAATTAAGAAGAAAAGCTCAACATAACAGCACCTCTGCTGGGACACTGTGATTGGCAGCAGGGGTGGGGTCCTTCTCATTATAAGGAGATTCAGTCTCCTATCTGTTGAGTGAGGGTGCTGTGTGCTGGTAAGCACAATGATTCCAGTGGGATCTGTGGACTGCCTTTCTTGTTTTTCCTCTTCCTTCTCTTTCAGCCCAAGAGTTAGAATGTCTCTGTCCCTGTCGTCAGGGGTTGGCTCTTACAATAGCAGCCCAGGTGGGGGACTAGCTTGGCTAATCCACTGAGCTGGCATGAGGCCATGGAGATGGCTTTAATGAGATTGGATTCTATGAATCTCAGGTTAAGAGTATCCAAACCTGGGATTAGAAGCTGTGGAGCAGAACAGCTTGCAACTTTAGGAGTCACAGGTCCTTATCAAATTGGGCAGGTGACTCATGGACCTGTGGAAAGCAGCTGCTGGTCTGTGCCTACAGGCACAGGGGGAGCTCCTCTGTCATGCGCCAGGCTTGGGTAGTCCAGCCGCTTGTGCTGGTCAGCCAGGCATGGGTGGGGTTTCCTTCCTGGGGATCGAAGGGACTGGCTGTCAGTCAGTAAAATGATCAGAGACGCAGGCCATCAGGTGGTCGGCAGCACCTCCACGGGGAAAGGAGGGAACTAGGCCTCCCCACAGCCATGTAAGGACAGGTCTGGCATCTCACCAAGTCCTGTTACTCAGCAAAGAGGTGGCAAAGACAGTGGAGAGAGAGCCAGGCCACGAAGGGATGGGGGTGATTTTGAGCTTCCCATGACTATAGCCGTTTCTGTGCAGAGAGATTCCTGGTCAGCACAGATTGTGATGGGCAGATTTATTTAATTGCAGGTACCCCAGAGCTAAGTGCAGCTGAGCGGAAGGAGCTGGAGAACAAGTTGAAGGAGCGGGAGGAATTCTTAATTCCTATTTATCGTCAGGTAGCTGTGCAGTTTGCTGACTTGCACGACACCCCAGGCCGGATGCAGGAGAAGGGTGTTATTAATGTAAGTACAGTGCTTGCCACGTCTCCTGGCTCATCAGAGATCTGCAGGTGAGCAGCAAGCATGTGGCTCATGCACATAGGCTCAACAAGCAGGGAGCTATAAGGGCTGGATTGAAGCAGCTTGTGCAGATCTACCCATTTTCAATTTTTTTGGAGAGACTTTTCCCTTTTTCTATATCCCTGTCCATCCTAAAACAGTTTGTGATTTAGGTTACCATGGGCTCTTGAGGAGGAAAGCTCCATTTTCCCAGTGGTAAACTGAGTCACATATGCCTCCGCTAGGGACCCCACTGGTAAACTGAGTCACATATGCTCCGTTAGACAGCTGCCCAGGTGGTCCTCAGGCTGTAGATTACTGCAGTGTCCAGGTTCCAGCAGCAGTAGTAAATTCACATTTGATCTGCATCTAAGTTGTTTGAGCCACCTGCCCTTAACCAATTCTTCACTGTCTGGATATCTGGGAATTCACAGCCCCTTCCCCAGAACACGTCAGCCAGATGTGGGGTTAGCATGAGCCAGGCCCTTCACTGGGCACAGTGCTGCAGTCGGGGTTGCGGTTCTGAACTGGTGTGGCCAGCTCTTGAGTCTCTGGAGCCTGCTGGAGAGTGGGGTTTTGTGCCTCTGGAGTTCCTTCTGGACTGGGCATTGAGCAGGGAGGAGGGCTGGGTGACTAAGCTTATGCCTGTCTGTATATAGGACATCCTGGATTGGAAAACATCCCGTACTTTCTTCTACTGGCGACTGCGGCGTCTTCTGCTGGAAGACCTGGTCAAGAAGAAAATCCACAATGCTAACCCCGAACTCACAGATGGCCAGATCCAGGCCATGTTAAGGCGCTGGTTTGTAGAAGTGGAAGGAACAGTGAAGGTAGGTGGGTGCCCTCAGAGGAGTCTTAATGCTGTGCCACCTGGTCACCCCACCTGTGGGCTGTAAAGCTTGTCTAAGAATCCCAGGCCTCTGGGGTAGGAGTAGGAGGGAAGAATATCGGCCCGAGCCCCGTTCCCTCCTGCCTCAGCAATACGTCATGACAGCTTGTTGGAAGAGGTTCAAGGACATTTTTTGCAGTTCATTCTGTCACTCAGCAAACCTTTTTGAATACTCACTACATATCAGACACTGCATTCAGCCATGGGAACGTGTGAAAGAGGCTGTGATGTTCCTCCATCCAGAGCTCACCATCTCAAGTGAGAGAGAGACTGGTCAAGAGAGCCCATACCGGAGCATGGCTGATGTGACCTTGGCAAACCTGAGACATCACAGAGCCCAGAGAAAGGACACCTGACCCATTCTGTGGGGAGTGGGAGGCAAGTCTGAGAAGATGTCTAGAAGTGATGTTTCAGCAGAAACCTGAGAAATAAGTAGGAATGAAGCAGGGGTTGAGGGGTAGGGGTGAAGGGGGTTGTTGGAGGAATGTTCCAGGCAGAAATAATAGCATGTTCCAAGGCCTGACAGTAAGAGCATCTTCCCTCTAAGGCACTGCAGATATTTCAGGGTGGCTCAGAGATTGGGATCATGCAGGGCCACAGAAGCTGTGCAAAGGGGCTTGGACTTTGTCCTGAGCTCTATGGAAAGCCACTGAGATGTTTTAAGCAGCAGAGTGACATACTCTGATTTGTATTGTAGAAAGACTGCTCAGGAGGCTGTGTGGAGGCCACAACTGAAGGGGTCAGGAGCATGAAGCCTAGTAGAAGGTGAGAGTAAGTTAGACAGGAGATGCCAAGACTGCCACTAGAGATGTTCTGATTTCAAGTCTGAGCTGGAAGAAACTGTCCACCCCGCCTTCAGGGAACTATGAATCCCACATTTGTGGGGGGTGATGTCACAAAGTGGACACATGGCTTCGAACAGTAACTGCTAAAATGTGTCTCTGGGGCTTTCCAGGGCTGGGACAGCATGGGTCTGAGGCTAGGATGGCCAAGGGCGCTGTTATTTGCCCTTGGACTCACAGGCTGCTTAAGACAATCCATGGGAGGATGGGAAGGAATAGTTGGAACTTTTATTTCTATTTGTTTTTGCTAAAAAATTAATAACCTTTATTAGTAGTTATAGTGATTAAAAGTAAGTCATATACATCATATATATTTTATCAGAATATTGGTAGCGTATGCTGAAAGTATGTCTCTCTGTTAGCTTTGTGATCAAAAACATCTACTGAGTTAGAGCACTGATGGAGGGCTGGATGGCGGGTTCTCCAGCCGCTTCCTCGATCATGTTGCCTGAAGTCTCTGCTGACTCTTCTTAGGAAGGAACTCCAGGATTTGCCATCATTTTTAAAGCTGGTGAATCAGGTTGCTTCTAAGATTCACATCTCTGTTAAGTCTACCCATTTATTTATGACTGAAAAGCTACTTTGGATAAATACTTCAGATGTACAGCAGGGAAGCGCAGCCTTATGCGATGTTTGGTTCTGGTTAAGGTCAGTCTGTGGCATCATAATTGAGTGAGACAATTTTGTCAGTGGCTACTGGTAGCTTCTAGTGGAAGTTGGCATTGAAAGTCACACAAGTGTAAAATAAGAGGTTGTTCTCCAATTGAGTGGCCGGCTAGGTAAATGGAGAGAGAGAGAGAGAGTGTGTGTGTTTGTGTGTGTGTGAGTGCGTGTCTAGGAGAGGCCCACACCACCTACCACATTAGTCACTAATGGGCATGCATGGCCTCAGTAAGCATGAGGATGAGAGGTTATTGTTTCCCTCTGTGCATTAAGTGAGAGGATGGGGCTCCTCAGTTGTTCCTTAGCATCCGGTACCCAGGGGACAGTATGTCTGGAGAAATACGTCATTGCCATCTCTTAATAGTGCAAAGAACAGTTGACTGTGTGCAGAGACTCCTAGCTGGAAATCCAGTGCAGAAGACAATCTCAGCCCCATAGGCCAGGGAGAACCTGTCTGAGACACTGCGAATCAACTGTACCCAAAAACTGAGGCTATTTTCCTTGCCCCGTCTACAGAAGGCAGCATTCTTCAGACCTCTCAGTCCAGGACAGCCAAGGAGAGCAAGAGTAGGCAGGTGATCCTAGGATGTGGCTTTCAAACCTCCTTCCATATTCTGCAGGCTCAGCAGGACCTAGTTTAGTGTGGGGTGGGTGATAAAATCTACAGCACCCTTGAGAGAAGAAAGTGTTTCAGTGTTCAAAAGCTGTCTGTGCTGCCTCTGAAGGGCTGACATAAAATCTGTTTGGTGTTTGGGAATAGCTTAAAAGTGTAGTGTTTTTTCTTGGTTCTTCAAAGTTATATTGTGTGCCATGTCTCTCAAGTGCAAAGACTGAGTCCAGACCCTGGCTTTGCAACCAAGAAGTTGACCCTCTGATCCTCATTGTTACTGATAGGGAAAGACATTTAGTGATGGGCATCTACTAGCCATGCTGTGTGTTCTTTATTCCTAGAGAATTTTTAAAATCTTAATCCTGAAAAAGATTCTGGAACTGAAAATTTGAAGACACTGTGATGTTATTATAACTGAACAGTGTCATTCTATTGTTTCCCTTAGAGGAAACTGTTACCATGAGTTGTAGGATTCTGTTTGAATCCACTGGGATTGTAGGAAATAGTAGGGTTTATGGTTCATAGTTTCACTGTAGGCAGAAGACATCAGTACAACTCCCTGAAAAGAATAACAAGAACTTAGGTTTACATCGGGTCAGAAGGACATGGCACACAGTTGTTTCGTGGCTGTGTTTTCTCTCTTGATTCTTGCATCCACAGTTTGCAGTACCGGGTATTTCAGACTGATTTTTTTCTCCAAGCCCCCATAGTAGAAGCTGAGATTAGAACTCTGCATGGAATTTGGGATCTCAAACTTTTTGGATCCCGGCTTTGCCATTTACTGGCTTGGACGTATTTATTTAAGCCTCCATTTCCTTGTGTGTAAAATGGGGATGGTGTTAGTTTTACAGGGTCCAATTGAGTTTTAAGTGATGTAAGTAAAGTATGGAGCACAATGTCTGGCACTCAGTTGACACTCAAAATATGCCTCTCTCCTTCTCTAAGCACAGCATGTAAAGTAAAAAAATGACATAACCTAGACTAAGAGTTAACGATGTGTAACTTAATGATCTTGGTGGAAGCCATGAACACAGTCAGTTCTCAGTGTTTTTTGATTGGGCTTGCTCCAATTTATCCAGTCTAGGATGTCATAATACAGTCTCATTGTCCAGGTAGCTGCCCATTTCATTCCTATTCTGGATTTCCAAATGCACTGAATGGTCATTCGAGGCCCTTATGAGGATGACAGAGGAAAAAGCACAGTTGATAGGGCCATTTGATTTCCACTGTCCCCAAAGCCTGGTTTCTAGCTATCCATGGACAGGTTTTATACACCAAACCCTGATTTAGGGCCAGGAAGGGAGGAGGTGCAGCAGAACCTGGGAAGTACTGGTTGGCTGGACCTGAGACTAGAGTGGCTCCTGGGAGATGGGGTCCAGCAGGCTACCCAGCCCACGTGGCTATTTGCTATTCTACTCCAAAGCCTCAGAAAAAATCACATTGCTGGAAGTATCTCCAGGCAACTTACAAGGTAAATTATCTGTAGGGCATAGTAATCAGGGCTTACATCCATCAAACTGTGTCCTGGTCACTTCCTGGCCCTGCTGTACCATTAACAGCTATCTGATACCTTAGAAATGAAACTTTCCAAACAGATCATTTAGATTTTGTAAGATAGACTAATTACTACATACAATTAGTGAAGCTGAGTAGTGCCAGAGATACTTATCCGCTGATGCAGAGAGAGAGAGAAAGCATTTGCAGAACATTTTATTGTAGGCCATTGTTGTAATGTTTAATTATCAATATCTTATTGGTATTAAAATGTTCTGATTGGGGTGTGTGTCAGGCGGGTGACATATGGGCCCAAGCCTGTCATGAGGTTAGCAGCCCACCTTCTCACACTTGCTTAAAACTCACGCTGGGTTATCATGCTGATTATCAGCCACATTTTCATAATTTTAAGGAGGGGAATGATAATGGCTTTATTGTGGGAATAGGGTCAGCCCATGCTTTTGGATGGCTGGAATGATGAGTCTTAGAATTCTGCTCTGAGAGAGCAGACAAGGCACTGTAGCCACCCTGACCCCAGTGGGAGACGGCCTTGCTTTTCCCAGGTGGAGGCGGCGAGCTCACAATGGTGCCTTAAGCCTTCCTTGGTCAGTTAAGAAAACCCTGTGGCACTGTGGGTACCTGTTTGTTTATTCCCACCAAAAATGCTATTGACTAGGGTTTGTGAGGCCTCTGCTTTCATGTGCTCTAGGCCGTGATCTCAACTTCGTCAGGGTTTGGCTTGGTGATTGTCAGCCGGTTGTTGTATTTGACTGAACAGCAAGTCTTCCACAGAAGGAAGCCATACTTTCAAAGGGGAGGCTTTAGAGCAGCACTTCTAAAGCTTGGAATGTGTTGCTTTAATCCGGTCTGGAAACTTTTTTAAACACCTAGCATATTCTGTGCCTGCAGGAGGGGAAGGCAGAAGAGTTTTCTCTAGAGGGTAGCTGGCTTTCCAGTGTAGTGTCTGAGCATCGTTAGAAGCAGGCATCTCGTTAGCTAAGACATTACACCAATCAAGGAGAGTTATCTTAAGCCACAATTAATCTGCTCCCTGGCATATGTTGATAGGAAAGCATCATGCTGTTTCTTAATTAAAAGCAAATGGATTAAAAATGATTAATAAGAGTATTAAATATTCTCCTAAACTAAAGGCTTTGGGATTCTTTGGTAAATCTGTTTTTTTTTCCATTCTGAAACCCAAGAAACATTCATTGTTTAATTTTTTTCCTCCCCCTAAATCTTCGTTAAGTAAGGGCATGTGCAGAAGTCTAAATTACCAATGCTGGAGATGGAGGTGTCCAAGCCCAGACGGACCCATGTCTATGGGTTGTGCAGGAGCTGGGACAACCACCCTGGGGGAAAAACATCATCACCCAACTGCCCTTGTCAATAGAGATGCTGGGGCAGGCACTTCCTTTCCTTCAGAACAAGACACTTTCCTGCTGTTTAGCCTCAGAGATGTGAGCAGTCCTGTCCAAGGCACAGAGAGCGGGGAGGCTGTCTCAGGTCCCTGTTGTCTCGGCCACATGCCCTGACTGGGAGAGCTCATCTTTCTATCATCAGTGATTGCAGAGATGGGCAAATTTTGGGCAGAAAAAGAACTGGAAAAGGCACATTGCTGCTCCTTAATCCTGGGGCTCCTTAGTCCTTCAGCTGTGAAGGATTCCTTAAGAATTTAGAAATGTGGAAGTCAGTTACATGACATCATAGATAACCAGCCTCAGCTAAGTCACCAGCTAAGTTGGAGGGAAGTGAGTGTCTGAAGAGAAACCAATATTTTTAATGAGTAAGTGAAAGTGAGAAAACAGTGGTGCTCAGACTCTTCCACTGCCTTCTGAAGCATGTGAGGAGACCTTCCTCTGCACCCCATGCCTTCACTTGTCCACAGGATTCCTGAGCCACAGCCCAGGCCTCCAAGCCTCAGGAGCCCCTAATGCGCCCGCCTATTAAATTACTGCGCCAAACTCATTGTCATTCTGATTTTGACTTCATTAGTGATAACAGAGAAGGATAGCACACCTTTAAATGACGAGCTTGGTGTTTAATTACCCAAACAAAATGACATAAATATGAATGAGCCCTAATGGTGGTACTTGGTTTTCCAGAAACCATTAACAAAACGATTCCTAAATGATTTGTAAAGAAAATGAGAGGAGAAGAGAGCAAGGAGAAGGCTATTAGGTTTCTAACACACTCCTGAATTATTATGTAGTCAACTACCTGGGAAATACTGAGCTAAATGATCTTGAAAAAAAAGGAGGCTCGAGTAGTTGGTAGAGACTTCCAGAGTTATAGACATCTTGTCCCTTTTGAGTGCTCACAGAAAGTAAAATAGGGTAGTTCTGACCCGGTGGCTCTCACCTAGCGGCAAGATTTCCCTCATATCAGCCCCTCCCTGCCTTAGTGGAAGACGGCGGGCTGGCCCACCCCGGAGACATTACCACGAGGTAACCCACCTGCCAGGCCGGGCCGGAGGCTCAGGTCTTAGCAGTTGTGCCTCAGCTCCTCAGAAAACACACATTTCATTTTTAAAACACCAAATAAAGCACCTTTCCCTCTCAGTCAGCACTTCACCGAACAATTCTCTTAGCTTTATGTGAAATAGGTAGAGACCTAGAGGGACAGGCCAGAGTGTGGGGCTCTGGTGCTTCTCGAGTGTCTGAGTGGCTGCTTCAATATGCAGTTTTGTAATGAAAAGGGAGAATGAGGACAGCTTCTGTCTGGAAGCCTGTTTCTTCCTTTCTACTACAAAGCCAACAGTAATGGAACATTGTGAGCAACTTTTCTACATTGAGCAAACTTTTGGAGTAAACTTTCCAGATATTGAACCATCTGGGTGTCCAACCTGGCTCCTAGTTGACTAGAAGTTATCTGTTTGCAGGCGTATGTTTGGGATAACAACAAGGACCTGGTGGAGTGGCTCGAGAAGCAGCTGACAGAGGAAGATGGTGTTCGTTCCGTCATAGAGGAAAACATTAAATACATCAGCAGAGACTACGTCCTCAAGCAGATCCGCAGGTGAGGACCAAGTTGGGGCTCCACTCGAGAAGAAGGGAGGCTCTTTTCTGTGGAATGCACAAAAACTTAAGAACAAATCATGAGATGAGGTTTTACAATCTTTGTGGTCTCTTCCTGTTTGAGACCACTGTGGTTGACCCACATGTAAAAATAGAGCCCTGAACCACAGTTCTTTCTCAGCTACTGGTCTCCAGGGGCACTTAGTAATCTCAGCTAGATGAAGGCTTAGTTCATTGTGCCCAACTATTAGCTGCAAATGCAGATACTCAAACTGGATGAACGATTCTTTGAGGGAAGGCGACTTTATGGTAGTTTCCTGGAAAACTACCACCTCCTCTCCCCCAGCCCAGAATTAGTAGTGTGCTTCTAGTCTTCTCCTTGGGGATGAGTGCTGGAGATGTTTGTAAAAACTTACTTGGAAACATTTCATTTCCAGAAGTTACAAACTAAAGGACAGTTACAAAGAACAAATCTACCCAAATGTACCTGTTATTTACATTTTATCCCATTTAATTCATCATTTGGGGATGTGCCGGCACTCTCTTATATGTATGTGTAAATAGGGGTGTGTGTGTGTGCATACACACTTTTTTTTTTTCTGAACCATTTAAGTTACATATATTATGGCCCTTTACCCCCAAATACTTCAGTGTCTATTTACTAATAGGGATATATTCTTTTACTGTGGTTAACAAATTCAACATCAAAACTTCTATCCACTCTGCCGTTTGTAGAACATAGCTCATTTTGAATTTGTCTGATGTTTCTTCCTGATGATGTTCCGGTCATACATTCTCTCAGCCAGAATCTCGCATTTGTGATGACACGGCCCTCACAGGGTGCCTCCTCTGGACACAGCAGATGTCAGCTGCCCCTCCTGATGTTAGTTTTGATCACCTGGTCAAATGTTATTTGATTCCTTCTCTGTTTAAGTAGTGATTTTCCACTTGCATCTAGTGAGCAGTCTGTGCGAAAACACTTCAAGGCCCTGCAAATGTCCAGTTCATCAGAATGTCTGCCTAGATTTAGCATCCATGAATGATCCTTGCCTGTTCCAGTGAGGACACAAAAATGGTAGCTTTCCACCTCCACATCCTCCCCACTGCAGTTCCACTGTAAGCTCCAGTCCTCTCTCTCCTCCACTCACTCGTATGTTCATTATTGGTGTAGATAAACAAATTTCTATTTTTTCTATAATTTGTAATTCATTATACTTAACTTTGATGCCCCAAATGTCCCAGATTTTGCCTGGGAGCACCTCCACGCTGGGCATGTCCACACTGGCTCAGTTTGGTTTTTTGAAGTTACCTCCGTCCTTTATGAGGTCCATCTTTTACCTAACTTGCTGCTGGGGACATTTTTCATGAAGGAAAACAAATCAGATGAGGGGGTGGCTGAAGTGTCTCGGGGCCTGTTAGTAGATGTGCTGGGCAGGTGTCTGGCTGCCCTGCTCCAGACACTGCTGCCTCTTGTCTTCACATCCCAAACCTTCCTCTCCAGCTTGGTACAGGCCAATCCAGAGGTTGCCATGGATTCCATCGTCCATATGACCCAGCACATCTCACCCACTCAGCGAGCAGAAGTCGTCCGGATCCTCTCTACAATGGACTCTCCTTCAACGTAGGAACTGCTTCCTGTCCATCCTTGCCCTGCCTCTGGAGAAAAGGGCTAGAGCTGCTTTTACAACTGAAGTGACTATCGGGAAAAGGCCCAGGAGACCCAGCACTGGAATCAAAGCGGCATTTTGCTTCCCCTCGAATTTCAGATTATGCATGACTCACTGGGATAAAGGGTCACAAAGCTCTCAAGCCAGCCCACTGGTCACACCTGTCCCATTCCATATTTATTACCCTGGTGTGTGACTCTAGCCCTCTCTCCCTACCCAGTAGCTGAGAAGGCAATGAAGGGTATAAGCATATACCATGACGTCTTACTACACAGAAGCAGGGTTACTCCCCCTGCCCTGCCCAGTCCTTGTTCCCAGCCAGGGAAGTGTGAGTTGTTGCCAGGTAGTCAGCAGCCCTCCCTCACCCCTGGCCCTATGAGCCTGCATCCACAGGCAACAGAGGAGGGCTGGAGAGAGGAGGAAGCCTCAGTCCATTGTTCCTCTATTCCGATATTCAGCCCAGTACACACGAGGCACTAGAGAGGAATCATTCCCAGTTTAATCATACCAAGGTACCTGTTTATGAAAAATGAACATATGAAATCTGCAAGCTCACAGGGACATAAAAATAAGAGCAAAACCATGATCCAGGAAGCAGAGAAAGAAAATAGACCAAGTCACTGTTGTTGAATTAGGGGCCTCAACTTTGGGCTCAGTTCTCTTAGATCAGATGGAAAGATGGTTCACAGTCCCTGCATGGCACTGCTTGACTGGCCAGCACGTGGGAGGCCCCAGCCTTCTCCCAGGGGTCCCACAGGCAGTGCTGCAGTCTGAGGTGGCAGAGGACGAGCCGGGGAACTGCCCTTCTGTCACTGATGGAGAGCAGTTCCTCATGCCCTATGGAGCATGGGCCAGAGCGGCTCCGTGTTCAGGACTCAGAGGTGGTTACTGTTAAACCTGGGGCTTTGATAGTCACAGGAGGTTCACAGTGCCTACAGTCACTCACCTGTTCCATGGCAATGCTCCCAGCAGCTGATGCTCCTATCCCTCTGGGTCTTGCCTCTTCCTGGAATGTACACAGGCCACAGATACAACAGGTCTCCCCACAGTTGCTGTAGGAAACCCTGGTGACATCTATGCTCTTAGCTCCAGGAACCGGTCGGGAGGCTCCCAAGGAGCACAGACTCCACATGACCGTGATGTTATCTCTGACTCCATTATGGTGCTGCTGCCCTCCAGGCTCACCGGTCCCGCCCTGGCCAGCAGTGGTAGGAGCACCTCATGCGTGGTGGAGAGTGTCTTTTCAACAACCAGTTTATTCAAGGAAAGAGCTTACTGGTTCACTTTTGGGATTCTTAAAGCCACAGTAGCAGGTGATCAGGGCTGGTGTAGCATCCAGTTCCTGGAGTGCGGCTAATTGCATTTGTCACTGATCACCAAGGAGGAAATCATATCACTAAGACATGTTAGAAGACGTTTGTACAAGCTACAGTTCTGAGCCTTAACCCTCTGTGTCACACACAAGACAGACCTCTACTTACCTCCTTTGGAGGCTGTTTGTGCAGCCGGGTATACCTACCTGCAGAAGCTCAGTGCCGCCGCCAGGCAGCCATCAAAGAAGGGCAGAAGGTGGGGGACGACTTTCAGTCCAGGAAGAAGCATCCACTGTTGCTGGTATCCACATACCCAGGAATTAAGAATTGGATTCATCTTTGGCCAGATTATTCTGTGCTTTTCTGCAGTAAGTAAAATCCCACATACCTACAGGTGGTGTGAATTCCTGCACTCCCCATTTGGCCTGTCCCAGCATTTCTTCATAGGCAGGGTGTCGGGTACTTTTATTGTACCTCTCCCCTGCCACCAAATTATGACACATTAAGTGAAAACATTTCCTCTCTAGAACTCTATTATCCCTATTCTGCCATGCCCAGAGTGCCTCACTCGAGGTCTTACCCTGGCTAAGGATTTCTCATATGGAGAAGTCAGAAAGTCAAAGAATGAGAGCAATCCACTATTCCCACAGCCCATTACACACACAAGGTTACTGAGGCAGGAGGAGTATAGATGATGTATTGACCAAGACTTGCTGGAACTGAGATCATCATATTGTCCATTAACATCATTCACAAAGCAGCCTTCACTTGTCTCATTGAGAATTTGATGGACATATACCCTGATGAATAAGGAGCTTCAGTCAAATGTATTCTTTACACATTTTGTTGAAATAAACCTCCACATTTGTAGAAGAGTCACTGTTTGTCATTTCAGCCCATTCTCAACTGCCTCATTCTTGTTCCACTTTGAGCAGGGGAGCGGTCAGCAGTGGTGAGATGAGCCCCTGCTCTAGGTAGACCCTAGCTGTGATGTAATGGCACTCACTGCTTCTGAGATTTGGTGGCTTTTCAGATACACATAATCTTGATGGCCTGGGCAGGTTCATGGGCCTCCTCAAAGTGAACACAAAGATTTGAACCTCTTGGTTTGCATTATTTTATAGGGTTTTCTGGGTCAAGCAACTAGAGAGCCATTTTCAGAGCTCACCTCAGGCCACTTTTATGGAAAGGTTTTAGGTTCCATTATTTAGCTAATTATTAATAGATTGGAACACTAACTTTTTGGACACAAAAAGGCACTTTTGGTGAAGGAAACTCGTGATTGTGTGCCTTCACTCCTCTGCTTGTTTCTGTGACTCCATGTGGGTGGAGCACAAACACCAATCCCAAACATCTGCAAAGGCAGGTGGATGCCATGAGGGAGTGGGGAGGGGAACTGCCAGCCTTCACTGAGTGTTAGACCTCATGCTCTGTGGGATGTGCAGGAAAGCAAGGGGTAGCTTTTTCTACAATGAGATAAAATGTTAAAGTTTGACATATTTAACATAGGTAGGTAGATATAAAAAATCAGTTTGAATTGCCCTAAGTTAGATATTCTAGAAAACAAAGAAGGGAGATTAGGATTCAGGGGGAAAAATAGCTACTCTTTGACTCCAGCTACTGCACTCCATGAGCAGGAGGTCCTAGTCAGTATAGAAGCCTTAGCCATCTTCTCCCTAAGCAAACAGATGAAAACCAGACCCCAAGACATGAACTCTCAGCTGTCCCTACTCCCGGCCAGCACCTGTTGATGGTTCTGGGGAAGGTTGGCAAGATGAATGGGAAAAGATTATGCTCCTGCCTCTAGGAACATGCCTGATATATACAGTGATTTCTTCTGTGCAGGAGTATTATTTCCTTCATCAGTTTTTTCTCTCTTAATAAAAGAAAAATTTAGACGTCCACTGGTATTAAAGGTTTAACAACAAGCGTTCTGTGATTTAGTCCCTGTACTTCCCTTTTTCATCATGTAAGGATATAATGCAAAATGTGCAACCCAGAAGAGAGCCCCCACCTGACTGTGCTGACACCCTAGGCTACCCAGACTGTGGTATTTTGTAATGGCAGCCCAATGAACTAAGACAATAAAAAGGATCAGAGAGTGCTACTGTAATAAACTTAAAAATGTGGAAGCAGCTGAGTATAGAGGGACTATACCTCAATATGCATGACAAGCCCACAGGTAGCATCATACTCAACAGTGTAAAAATTTTCTAAGATTGGGAACAAAGTGAGTATGCCCATTCTTGCTACTTTTATTCAGTAATAGCACTGGAAGTCCTAGCCAGAGCAGTTAGGCAAGAAAAAGAAAGAAATGGCATCTAAATTGGAAAGGAAGAAGTAAAACTCTATTTGCAGATGACATGATACATATAAACCCCAAACGATTCCACCAAAAAACTATTAGAAGAACTATGAATTCAATAAAGTTTCAGGGAACAAAACTGATAAACAAAAAATGAGTTCTATTTCTATACACTACTAATGAACTATTAGAGAAATTAACAATCCAGGGTATAGTTGGATCAAAAATAAAAAAATACCTAGGAATAAATTTTACCAAGGGGGAGTGAAAGATCTGCACACTGAAAACTATAAGACATTGATAAAAGAAAATGAAGAAAACACAAAGAAGTGCAAAGATATGCACATGGATTGGAAGAATATTATTAAAATGTCATTCTACCCACAGCAGTCTACAGATTCAATGCAATCCCTATCGAAGTACCAGTGGCTTTTTTGTATGGAACCACAAAAGACCCTGGATAGCCAAAGCAATCTTGAAAAAGAAGAATAAAGCAAGAGACATCACATGTCCTGATTTCAAACTATATTACTAAGCTATAGTCATCAAAACAGTATGGTACTGGCATGAAAGCAGACACATAGATCAATGGAACAGAATGGAGCCCAGAAATAAACCCTTGCATATATAGTCAATTAATTTACAACAAAGCCAAAGAATATACAGTGGGGAAAGGATAAACCCTTCAATAAACAATGTTGAGAAAACTGGACAGCCACATGCAAAAGAATGAAATGACCCCTCTCTTATACCATACACAAAAAGTCAACTCAAACTGGATTAAAAACTTGACCATAAGACCTGATACCATAAAACTCGCAGAAGAAAATACATGGGATAAGCTCCTTGATGGGTCTTAGCAATGATTTTTTTTGTATTTAACACCAAAATCAAAGACAATGAGAGCAAAAATACAAGTGGGGCTACCTTTTAGTTTTCTCAGTCTAGAAAGCTACTGTACAGCAAAGGAAACATCAACAAAAGATATGAAAGGCAACTTAATAGGATGGGAGAAAATATTTGCAAATTGTATATATGATAAAGGATTAATATTCAAAATATACAAAGAACTTATACAATTCAACAGCAAAAAAATCAATCTGACCAAAACCAGGACAGAGGAACTGAATAGACATTTTTACAAAGATGATAAAGTGGCCAACAGGTACATGTAAAGGTGTTCAACATCACTCACCATCAGGGAAATGCAAAATCAAAACCACAGTAAGATATCTCAAACCTGTTAGAATGGCCAAGATCAAAAAAGAAGAGATTAAGTGCTGACAGGGATGTAGAGAAAAGGGAACCTTTGTGCACCATTGGTGGGAAAGTAAATTGGTACAGCCAGCAAGGAAAACAGTATGGAGGTTCCCCCAGAAACTTAAAAATAGAACTACCATTTGATCCAGCAGTCCCACTTCTGGGAATGTACCCAAAGGAAATGAAAACAGGATACTGAAGATAACTGCACTACTGTGTTTATTGTGGCATTATTTGCAATAGCCAAGATATGGAAACAAGCTAAGTGCCTATCAGCAGATGAATGGATGATGACAATGTGGCATATGTTGTACACAATGGAATACTATAAGCCATGAGAAAGAAAATTCTGCCATTTGTGACAATATAGAAGGGCTTTGAAGGCAATACACTAAATGAAATAAGCCAGAGAAAGACAAATACTGTATAGAATCACTCATATCTTAAAAAAAATAAAATCAAACACATAGGGGATAGGGGAAAGGGAGAGGTTAGTAGAAGGGGACAGATTTCAGCTATGAGATGAGTAAGTAAGGTCTGGGGATCTAATGTAGAACATGGTGATAACACTGTGTTGTATAATTAAAATATGCCAAGAAAGTACAACTTCAATATTCTCTTACACACACACATACACGATAAATAGGTGATGATCTGTTAATTAGATGGAGGGAATCCTTTCACTATATATTATAGCAAATCACGATGTACGCTAAATACTTAAAAACTTGGTATGTCAATCATACCTCAGTAAAGCTCAGTTTTAAAAAAATGAAATTATAGATTATCTGGCTGAGGCTATTCCTAAGCCAAGTTTTGAAGGTACAGCTTGGTGTCTCTTGAATATTTATAGTAAAATGTGACGAGGGAAATGAATTAAAGACAAAATTGTTCAAAGGGAGGCAGAAATTAAAAATACGGAAAATTTTCAGTCTACCCATATTGCAACAAAATGAGAAAGCATGTTTTGAAGAGAACATTGGGAGTATGGCCAAGTGACCCTTTGATAAGGAGATTAGTATGGGTGTGAACCACGGACTTAATCGGCCACCCGCTCAGGAAAAAAGCTTATTTGACCCGAAGGGGAAGGAAACAGGAAGGAATGAAGGAAGGTTGTTGGACTTCTTAGGTATTACAGGCTGGGACCATGGAGCTCCTCAGCTTCCAACAAGACAAGGGAGGAAGGACCCCAAAGACAATTCACATCCCATCAGAGCTGCCTCCTCAGTTTCAAAGCAGGATGGGGTGGGGGAAAATTGCCTGGGTTTCAACAGGTCAGATGTCTGCACCCAAAGCTGTGGGGGCCAGAGCCATGGGGGTAGGACCCCTCCTGAAGACCTCAGGTTGGTAGTGCCACTGGCATTTGACTCCAGCCCAGGAGAACTGCTGTGGACATGGGGGCAGGGCGGGAGGAGGGCAGGTGAATCCCAGAGGTCCAGTGTATTTGAAAGACAGGAAGCCCACTCAGTGGGTCTGGCAAGTGGAACCTCCACCCCAGAGGGCAGAGCACCAAGTTAAATATTCTTAGGATTTAATGCTATTGCTTTGTTGGGTTTTAGACTTGCTTGGGACCTGTCACCCCTGCCTTCTCTCCAAGAGTAGCAATTCTAGGTATATATCCAAAAGAACTGAAAGCAGTTCTTGAAGAGATATTTGCACACCTATATTCACATAGAGTATGTATAGGTACATATAATGTAGAGCATATATAGAGTACACAGAGAGTCTCAGTTTTGCAAGATTTAAGTTCTGGAAATCTGTTGCATAATGAATATACTTCACATTAAACCATACACTTAAAAATGGCAACATTTTGTGGTAAATTTTTATGACTTTTTACCATAAACCTGGTAAATATTTATGACTTTTTTGCCACATTTAAAAAGTATAGTAAAAAAAAATAGTGGAATTGAATTGGTATGCTATTTAACACAAAAGAAGGCCAGTAAAGAAGGGCAAAAACCTTACCAATAATTATATTCAATTTGAAAGAACTAAACACTCCAATCAAAAAGACTATCAGACTGGATAAAAAACAAAATCCAACTCTACACTGTCTCCAAGAAACACACCTTGGATTCAAAGACACAAATTGGTTAAAAGTAATTTTATATACCATATAAAACAGTAACTATAAGAGAGCTGAAGTGGCTATATTAATATTGGAAAACATATATCAAGATAAATATCACTAGAAGCAAAGAGGAATACTTATAATGATTAATGCATCAATTTGTCAGGGAGCTGCAATAGTTATAAATGTATATGCACCTAAAAACAGAAACCAAGGATACATAAAGCAAAAATTGA